TTTTTTGAAAGAAAGCTTACTTGGAAAAAGTGCCAAATATACAGTCTCCAACAAAATTGAAGAAGCAAATTTAGTGGCTTGTAGAAGCCACTGAGCAAACACAGTGTGCGAGTGAAATTTCTTAGAAAAACAACACAATACACTTTCCATCATGAGACCTCACACCTAAAAAACATGAACTATTGATAGATTTTCCTAAATGTGGATACACATAAACTTAATTTAAAAAAATAAGTAAATCATATTTTAGCCATAATATTGTATACTTCCCAACCGAGGGTAAAATGTCCCAGTATCTTATTCTGTCAAATCATGGACTACTTGGTAGTGAATGCCCCACCAATTGACGGCGAGAAGTTTAGGACATGGAATCCCAGTGGCAGCCACCTGTGATAATAGTTGCATCTGCCTTAGTCTACATGTCGCAGGCGATGTCGCAGGTCATTGTCACACTGTGTCGTTGTTCCATGTTCACCTCTTGTTGTTAACTGTCCATGTTTGCTCCTTAAATGACTTCAGCACAACCAGTGATGTGTCCATCTATATAACAATAGAGGTATATGCATATTTTCCGGGATGCCCTCACAGTAACAGTAACAACCGAACACGCTGCATGGGGGGACAAGGCCAGCCTGGGGGTTTGTGAGAAATGACTGAACCGCAGGCTGCGTGGTTCGACCAGGCCAGCAGAGGGGTCAGTGAGGGACGACCAAAGGACTGAACAGCAGGCTGCATGGAACAACCAGGCTGGCGGGGGAGGGCAGCCGGTGACTACCAGCACAGCAAGGAGAGGTTGGGCAGTTAGGGGTGACCAGCCCAGCAGGAAGAGGTGGTTAGGAGTGATCAGGCTGGCAGGGGGCGGGGGGTAGTTAGGGGCTATCAGGCAGCCAGGGAGGTGAGCAGTTAAGTGCCAGCAGTCCCAGATTGTGAGAGGAATGTCCAACTGCTAGGACTGGGCCTAAACTGGCAGTAGCACATCCCCCAAGGAGTCCCTGATTGGAGAGGGTGCAGGCTGGGCTGAGCGGACCCCCACCCATGCACAATTTCGTGCACTGGGCCTCTAGTTTAATAGGAATAAGTAACTTATTCCAAGGAGAACTCTCTGACACACGTTCAACCCCCAGGGCGGCCTGGCTACTGCTTCTTGGATGCGGACATGGGGCCCTGCGGCTTATACTTCAAGAACTACTTCTACAACCACCGCTCTGGGCGCTGCGAGCAGTTCGTGTATGGAGGCTGTGATGGGAACCTAAACAACTTCGAAAGCGAGGCAGCATGCCAGCACTTCTGTGGGGACCCGGGTGCGTCTGCGCCTCTCTCCCTTCACTGTGTTTTCTGGCGTTTCAAACATATGGTGTCCTGAGGACAGGTGTGCCTGGCCTGTGTGTTCCCAGACCAGTGAGATGCATTCGTTTCCCCTGAATCTGATAGAAACTAGTCAGGATGTGAAAGAAATGTGTTAAAGCACAGATAGCAACAAACCTGACTTCAGGGCCATGGCTTCCCTAGATGGACATTACATTTTTCTTTCTCTGTTATTTCGTTTTCTTTCCCGAGAAAACCGTTGTCTCTAAGGGGTGAGAGCGGGGCTCTGAACTCCTGACCTTCACGGCCATTTCAGGACAGAGAACCTTCCACCTTGAAAATTGATCATTTGATGTGCCCATGACACGCAGTAACGGAGGGACAATCATGAACCCTCATACCTTTGTTTTGCTAAGAACCACAAAATTGCTCCTGGAGATATTATCTCAGTTTATATAAGTAGCATAGAGATGTTTAAAGCCCCACTGTGCGCTGATTTCACAGAGCCTGTGAACAAGCTTTCTGGAAGTTTACTTTTCTCAACACGCCTGCTGGCGTGGCCCTCCTGTGAGCATGAGCTGTACCCGTGTCTGGCGTGTTAACTGGCTGCACTCTCCCCACAGATGACAGCGCCCAGCCCACTGCCTCCTCCACTCCCGGCCCTGCCAAGAGGAAAGCCACAGTCTGGGGTAAGAACGTTATTTTTTTGAAATTGCTGCCAGAAAGATAACATGTTAACAACAGAAGTGGGGTGGACATTAGAACTGTGCTTTTAAACAATTACACAAGCCTTTCAGACTCTCAGAGTCTGTCAGCACTTTTCCCGTTGTCCAGGAAGAGGGCACGCTGAGCTCAATCACGTCTCTGTCTCTGTCGCTCGCCCAGCGGCACCCGCCTGCCTCATGAGACCTCACACCTAAAAACATGAACTATTTATAGATTTTCCTAAATGTGGATACACATAAACTTAATAAAAAAAATAAGTAAACCATGTGTTAGCCACTATATTGATTACTTCCCAACCGAGGTGAAAATGTCCGAAGTACTTAATTGGGCCAATCATAGACTACTTGGGAGTGAATGCCCCATAATTGACTGGGAGAATTAGGACATGGAATCCCAGTGGCAGCCACCTGCGATCATAGCTGCTTCTGCCTTAGTCTACATGTGGCAGGCGATGTCGCAGGTCATTGTCACGCTGTGTGGTTGTTCCATGTTCACCTCTTGTTGTTAACTGTCCATGTTTGCTCCTTAAATGACTTCAGCACAACCAGTTATGTGTCCATTTATACTAACAGTAGAGGAATATGCATATTGTCCGGGATGCCCTCATTCAATAAGTGTACCCTCAGTCAACTGCTATCCATGAAGCTAAATGCATACAGAGGACAGCTATGCAAAGGAGCGCTTCCTTATGACTCATTAGTGATTTATCCCCAAATCCCCATTGGGAACCTCCTAAATTTAATGACAAAATGTTATTACTTTCCTTTGCATGTAGGATTATGTGTTTATTTTCTTTTTATGTGTTTGTACATTTA